TTAACCAGGGCGTTAAGCAGATCCTTAAAGGGTGAGCCGCTCGTCATCCTGCCCACCCGCGCTGGGTGGATTGGCTTCAGGACCCTCCCACACCCAGACGTGGAGTCGTCAAACCCCTTAGGTAAAATGGCATAGTAGGCACATGCAGCCTGCACTTTTCTTTCATACACTCTAATCATGTACAGAGACCTAACACAATCTATACACTACACAAATAACTATCATGCTATGCCTTTAAGAAGCCATAAACAGAAAGGACCGGTGATGTGTAACACAGGCGCAGTTTTTAAAATACTTTTGCTCTATAGTTGGCTGAATCCTGGATGTGGCATTGTAGGTGGGGGCAGCTGACTCTACTGTCGTTTAGGAAATGGCTCGGCAGTTAAGAACGAGCCTGGCCGCTCCTGCAGACCTAAGTTCGGTCCCCAGCATCCGTGTGGCCGCTCACAAACATCTGTGACTCCAGTTCCGGGGCCTAATGCCCTTTCCGGCCTCTGTGGGTGCCATACACACACGGTGCACAGGCTGAATACAGGCAAACACTCAAGCTTGTAAAATAAAAATAATTCTTCAAAAAAGAAAGCTATTGATCGGGAGCAGTATGTAGAAGCATCAAGTTGAGCTTCTCTGAGAAATATCAAGAAAGCAACTTGTTTGGACACAATCATCTCTTTCTTAAAAGATATTTGTTTATTCCTCTTTTATGTGTTGCTATATGTCTGCTTCCATGTATTTGTTGCTGTACATGTGTAGGGATGTATGCACAGAGGCCAGAAGAGGGTTTTGATATCTGGGACTGGAGTTACAGATGCTTGTAGGCCACCGGCTGTGGGTTCTGGTAACTGAATAGATGCTTTGGAACAGCAACCAGGATTCTTAACCGCTGAGCCATTCTCCAGCCCCGAGCAATCATTTCTTGTAACACATATTCAACTGAAGCCTTCCTTTCTCAAAGGGAACTTGAGTACTTCAAGTACAAAATGAAGATGTTTCACAACACATAGTTGGTGTGTGTGTGTATTTTAAATGAGCCTATAAAACAACACAGTAAATCCTAAATAACCACTAAATAATAACAGAATAAAGAGGGACAGATTTCTCTGGGCTTCTTGCTGTCTCCTTCCTCAAGTCCCGGGAAATGACTCCCCTCGGGGACTGTCCTCTGGTCCACATGGGCCCCATGTCTACTTAACCCTCCGTCCTCAGACTCACAGATCAGTGCCTTGGAACCTTGCCTCTTCAGAGGTCAAATCAGGGCCCAGCAAGTGACGCGCTCGGAGACTACTGCAGGGCCGCACGGTGAGACAAGGAGCTATGGAAGTCCGGAGGCAGGGAAACCTGAGGTTGGAATTACTGTACCTTTTACCTTTGACAAACTTAAGTTTGCATTTCAGCCCCATAACTTAATGCCTGCAGTATGTTAAGAATGCTAGCTAGGCTCTCTCCACTTCAGCATCTTCACCTACAGGTTAACGTGAGTGAGTGTTACTCTCTTGAATTGCCATGGAGAAGGACACGCTCCGTGATAAACAGCTGGCACAATGTTGCCATGTAATAAACCCTCTCCCTGCCGCCGAGAGTAAGACAGCTAAGGTTTCCAGTGCTACCACAGGTAGCGCTCAAGAGTGCTAAGGTCAGACTTAGACATGAAACTTGCTTTTTTGCTAGGTGAGACTAATAAAGTCACTTGAAATCTTTGCGCATAGAGGGTTCAGTTTTCGTTCATTCACTCAGCCTCAAAGAGATGCTTCAAGGCGTAGTTGATCCCTTTGAACACCTGTTGATTCCTCCAACACACTTTGGAAATACCCAGATCTGGAGCAGGCCCCCTGCTGGGCAGTGGGATGGAGATGAGTAAGCCGTGGTCTCCCGCTGAGAAATGCCTTCAGTCCAGGGAGGAAATAGACAACCGTGCAGGGGCTGGGCTGTGAGAACGTCGAGCCCCAGGCTCCGCCTGGAAAGGAAGAAGGAAGGCTGGGACCCAGGAGACTATATGAAATTAAGGAGCCTATTTCCTCCAATGACAGTTGAGTCTCATAAGCGGGGGACACAGGGAGAAGCGCAAGGTGCCCCGAGGGCAGGAAGAGAACAACCATCTCTCGCCTGGACCATGGCCGCCGCAACCACTTCCTTTGTGAGGGTGGGGAAATGCCATTTTGGTTTGGGGGGGTTTGTTTATTGGTTTGTTTGTGGTGGAGCTTGTGCCCCTTTCTTCAGGAATCACGTGGAATCTGCAGTCCTCAGCTCAGCCCTCCCATCTGTTCACTTGGCGTCACTCTGCACATTAATCCTTAAAGGACAATTTAGCGCCATTGTTCTGGCCCTATCGGTCCAAGTCTCCTCCAGCTCCTGCCTGTTTGCTCCCATCCCCCTCCCCCTCCCTCTTAGGTCTTTCGCTGACACCCGCTATTCTGTTCGTGCCTTGGGATGCTGTCTCTTGCCGCACAGTTCTATCCCCAGCCTCAACCTCTCATCTGAACTCTCTTCTTGTATGCAGTCATTGACTAAAAATAACAATGACAACAGTAATAATAAAACTCTCACTTGTATGTTGCTTAAAGTGCCCAAATGCAATCCATTAACTGAACTTTTTTAATTTTAATTTTTTTTATTAATTACACTTTATTTACTTTGTATCTCCCCTTTAACTGAACTCTTTAGAACCTCAACCCAACTCCTCCCTTTTCAGGGTTTGGCAACTCCAATACAATCATCATAGTTTTAAAACCCTAAAGTTATTGATCGTTCTTTTCCCCTAATTGGCCACTGTGTGATTGATTTGACTCTAGGAAGTTCCTCCTTATTTTTCTAAGCTCTTTCTTAGCCAGGTTAAATGGCAGCCCCTCCACCCACCTCCATCTCCTGTTCCTTCTTCACAGGATCATTATTGTGTAGAGTGTTTATTCACTGCCTCAGGATCCCATGTTTCTTATGAGCCTATCACGGTGGCACACACCTGTAATCCCAACACTCAGGAAGGCAGAAGCAGGCAGATCTCTGTGAGTTCGAGGCCAGCCTGGTCTATAAAATGAGTCCAGGACAGCCAAGGCTACACAGAAAAACCCTAGCTTGAAAAAAAAAAAAAAAAAAAAAAGGTTCTTTATGGCATCTACCCAAGGACTGCAAAGACACAAGACAGGAAAGCAAATTAAGATCATATGATAAGGACAGGGAAACATTGCCCAAGTCAATGTACGGGGCAGCCAGCCAGGCTGTCTCCCTTACGCCCCGGCACACTGGCAGGAGGACTGGAGGACTGCCCAGGGCCTTCCTGGCTACTCTCCCAGCTTTCAGCTCCTTCCTTTGGGCACTGCCTCTTGCCTTGTCCGTGCCTCACAGCCGCCATCCTCTACAGCCGTTTACAGGCTCAGCCGTGCAGACTTCAGTCACTCTGCCACAAGTTTGTCTGGTCCTCACCCAACTGGAACAATGATAGATCCTCCAAAATCTGCTGTCCAAAGCAATGCCCTGGAATGTTCGGAAAGACATCCCAGGGAGGGAGGATTCCAGACCCACTCCCTCCTGAATTCTCTCTGGTGCGAGGGTTTGTTAAAGATCTGCCTCCTCCTGTATCCAGAGGGAGTCTAGTCACAGGCGTGCAGACACCGATAAAGAGGGAGGAGGACGGACGCAGATCGCTGCCAACCTGCACAGCTTCTCTGCCCATGCAGTGCAGGGACTAGCTGCTGAGTAGGCCTGGCCATTGTCTGAGGATCCCAGACTTTAGACTCTAAACCAGCAAGTTCCAGGCAAACCATGGCAAGGTGCTAACCCAGAATGTGTAAGAAGAGAACGTTCTGGGTGCAAATCCAACTCTGTCCTTTATTTGCTGTGTGACTTTGGACTGGACCTTTCCTTCTCTGTGTCTTGGTTTCCTTGTTGATAAAATCAAGGGTTTTTAATTGTTTTATTTTACTTTACTTTATTTTTAGGCAGGGTCTCATTAGGTAGCCCTGGCTGGGCTGGAACTCACTATCTGTACCAGGCTAGCCTCAAACTCACAGAGATCTGCTTCTGAGTAATGGGTCTAAAGGTGTGTACCATAGTATCTATCAAAATGGAGGGTGTTTTAAATTTCAGGTTCATTATGTGTGCCTGGGGCCTGCAGAGCTCAGAAGAGGGTTTTGTACGCCCTGGAGATGGAGTTATAGGCAGGTGTGAGCCGTCATGTGGGTGCTGGGAATTGAACCTGGGTCCTCTGCAGAGCAATAATTGCTCTTAGCCATCTCTCCAGTCCCAAAGTAAAGATCTTTTTTTAAAGTTAATTTCTGAAATCATTTGGAATAACTGATATACAGTCACTATATACAGCCTCCTCCTACTTTTCATCCATCTCTCCCCAAGCAAAGTCCAGGCAAGCCTGTGAATGGCTGTGCGGCTCTGCCCTTCCAGCTCTGGTGGCCTCCTGCTCTCCCGGGACACCCTGGCAAAGGGAAGTAAGCTTCCGGGACAAGGCCAGGTAGGAGGTGCTGTAGCCAGACTAGAGGGCTAAGCGGGGACCAGACTACGCAGCCCCGTACTTTGGAATCAGGAAAACCGGTTCCCTCAGCTGGAGTACCTTGCTCCTGGCTGGCTCTTCTCTCCCATCGGAAGCTTTGGTCCTTCAGGGACTCCCCGGAACAAAGATCCTTTATATACTTTCTACCCAAAAGGCTCTTTTTTTTCTTGTTTTATCTCTTAACATTGTTTCCTCCCCTCTCACACACCACATCTTATTTTCTGTCTTACATTGCACTCACATTAGAACACCTATAATATTCTAAAACAAGTATCTTATGCGTTTGTGTTTTACGAAGGGAAAGCCAGGACCTCCCTGAGGACAAGGAATGTCCTCAGGGATTTATCTGTGTAGGTCCTCAAACTCCTGGCATATCTGGTTTTTTGTTTGGTCTGGTTTGGTTTGGTTTTCAAGATACTCGTCCTGCAAGCCTCAGGCTCCTAAAATAACCGTTTTGTCCCAACAGCCCCTGATTCTCACTCCTGGTGCCAGCCCAGGACCAATGGGTGAGAATGGAGACACCAGCATCTTCAGCGTTTCCTACACCAGCTTGCTCCTGGTGGGCTTCCCTGGACTGCAGGAATGCGGCCCCTCCTGGTCCTGCCGCTGACCCTGCTCTACGTGTCCATCATTTCTGCCAAGGCCCTGGTCATCCACACGGTGGCGGCCCAGCGGAGCCCGCACCAGCCCATGCACCTGCTCATCGCCCTGCTCCTGGCGTCAACGTCTGCGCCGCCACCGCCGTGCTGCCCGCCGTGCTGCCCGCCGTGCTGCTCAGCTTCTCCACACGCTTCAACCGCATCTCGCTCCGCGGCTGCCTGGCGCAGATGCTCTGCGTCTACTTCACCCTCCTGCTGGACTACAGTCTCTTGCTGGCCTTGGCTCTGGATCGCTACGTGGCCATTTGCCACCCACTCCGCTACCCTGACCTGATGACCTCGTGCTCACCGGGCCTGATGGCCACTGTCGCCCTGACGCGGAGCCTAGGAGTGGCGGTGCCCTTAGTGGTGTTACCTGCAAAGGCTCGATTCTGCAGGGCACGTGAGATCCGACACTTGAGCCGTGAGTGCATCGCACTGCTGAGCATAGCCTGTGGGGACCTGACCGCCAACCGGTTGGGATTGGCTATGCGGCTGGTCACCGTGACCTTTGACCTGGCCTTGCTGGGAACATCCTACACCCGCATCGTCTACGCTGCCTTCCGGATCTCTTCCGGCGGAGCCCGGGCGAAGGCCCTGCACACCTGTGGCTCCCACGCACTGGTCATCCTCACCAGCTACCTTTCTGGTCTTTCCACTTCCATAGTCTTCCGGGTGGCCAAGACTGTGTCTCAAGATGTCCAGAACCTACTCAGTGCTATATACCTGCTGCTCCCAGGGGCCTTGAATCCTCTCATTTACGGGGTGAGAACTAAGGAGATCCGGCAACACATAGAAAAAATGTTCTGTGGAACGGCGTCACCCCAAGGCATCCGAGAGAAGTCACAGAACGTGAGAGGGGAGAGGGAGTTGCCAGGGTAAGAGCGCATTTTCAGCCTGAGAAGCTGGGCCTGTGGCCGTGAGCACAGGAAGTAGGCAGTCCGTGCCAGCAGGCTGGGCGGGCCCCAAGCAGGTCACGGCTCAATGGCCTCCCCCAGTTGCGGCTCTGACTTGTTTACTTCTTAGAACATTCTGTTTCTCACCTCACCCAACAGAGAGGCTTGTATTTACCCTTCGAAGTTCATTTTGTCTTCTTTCCAATTTTTGTTTGTTTGTTCTTTGGTTTTCCAGACAAATGTAGCCCTGGCTGGCCTGAACTTACTTTGTAGACCAGGCTGGCCTCAAACTCACAGCGATCCACCTGTCTCTGCCTCCTGAGGGCTGGGATTAAAGGCGTGCACCACCACACCCATCTCTTCTTTGGCCTACAGCTTCCCCAGGAGACACATAGAGCAAATCAAACAGACCATAACCTGTCCTGGCCTCCTGTTTAAAGCAAAGAAAGTTCCAGTCCTTTGGTGGCTGTCTCTCCCAAATCCAGCCTCTGACTTGTCATGAATTTCAATGTGATCAAATATGCCCTTGAGCCTCGAGGCTAATTCAGAGTCCTATCAGTCCTGAATACAAGGGAAAGCCATTGCCTGAGATCCCAAGTCTGACACTGGTGCACAGACCCAGACAACTCTGGCTGTCATTCAGAACATAGAAATAGGTGAAGCCAGACCCAGGAGCCTGTCTGAAAGACAGTCAGACCAGATCTTCTTGGGTTCTGATCTGCTCCTCTTCCTTTGGTTTCTAAGGCCATGTAAACACTGCCATCAAAAGCAACCTGGGCTGGATCAGGTCTACTTGGCTTCGGGTTACAGTCCATCGCAGAGGGAAGTCAGGACAGGAACAAGAGCAGAATCGTAGACGGAGGAGGTCACTGCTGACAGGCTTGCTTTCCGTGGCTTGCTCAGCTTGCAGCCCCACCCACAGGGAGCTGGCCCTCCTCCAATAATCGTTAACAAAGAAAACGTCCAAAGACTTGCCTACAGGCAGATCCGGTACCAGACGACCCTAGCTTGTGTCAAGTTGACCAAAAACTAACCAATATAGATCCAAATATCAGAGTAGAGCCTCCCCTATACCTATAGAGTCCTAAAGGAACCTGACACCCAGGCCAGAGCCCTGAGGTCTCCTAGGACACAAGGGGCTGCCACAGAGCCCAAATCTGAAACAAAAACCAAATTAGGCCCTGACCTGGGGACTTGGGTCTGACCCAAACCCACATCATGTCATTCTTTCAATGGCAGCGTGATCTTTGGCAACATTACTTCCTCCCAGGTGCAGCTCGTGTCTCAGGATCACTTGATCCCAGGAGTTGAACCAACAGTAAGACTCTATAAAATAATAAAGCCACTGTTACTTAAGACTTCCACAGCCTCCCATCGTCTATAAATGCCCTTTACGTATGTCCCAGAAATGGGCTCTTGTGCCTGAGTCCTGTACAGAACCACCTGCAAGCCAAGCTGGACCTTTTTTCTTCCTCTGTTGACAGGTCATAGGAAACTCCTCAGGAAGCCATAGTTGTAGATTAGGAGGAAGAAGTCAGTGTAGCAAGAGTAGGGGCCATGGTGTGTGAGTCATTTCACACAACTTATTCAGTACTTGCTCAAGTCCAGTATTGTACATGCTCTTCCATTTGATGACAAAATGCTGGGCATGCTCAAAATTATGGCTTGGTGAGTCAGACAACAGCCTGCTCCTGGCTTGTAATTCATGATAAACTCTAACTTAGTGACCCACATTTAGGTGGCCAGTTTCCACTTGGTTCACCACCAAGCCAAAAGCTGTTTCTCAGAATATACACCCAGAGGATGTACTCAGGGGCTTTGCCCCAGGTCCTCTGCTGTGATTCCTCTCCAGTAGCCTGCCAAAGGTTGCAAAGGCTGCAGTTAACCCCTGTCCACCGCTGTAACTTCAGGATCATCTCTGGACCTCCTGGACCACATGGCCCAAGGTGCACAGCAATCCCACCGAATCCTGGGTCTGTGGCAGTGCCTCCCCTTGCTCCAGGCCACATTTAAAGAAAACAGCTTTTCCGGTTACTCAGTAATCAGGCTAGACCAGCACACCTAATGAGTACTTTGTCTCCCAAATCCAGAACTATTTAGGTGTTCTCCCCTTTTCTTGACTGTAGAAGAGTTCAGTTTATCCTTTACCTTATATCACAGGATCCTAGGAAATTTCACTGATATTGAAGGCCTCTGGATTTTTATCAGATATATTTCCTGCCCATAGACATGCCAATAAATCTAGAATAGTCTACTTCCTCATAAATTACAAATACCACTCCAATCTGCAATAAATCAATGTACTAGTTCTGTCTTATAGAAGAGAAAGGTGACTGAAATCCTGTGGGAACTAAGTGATGACAGAGAGCTGATGAATCCACAGACCTTTAAAATAAGTACATGCCTTTAATCCCAGCACTTGGGAAGCAAAGGCAGGAGGATCTCTGAATTTGAAGGCAGCCTGATCGTAGCAAGTTCCAGGACAGCCAGTATGACAGAGAACCTGTCTAAAATTAGTTAACTAATTAATAACTGATAAAATCTTTAAAGACAGTGAAGATATGTTGCTGCTCTTGTCAGCTGAAGGCAACTCTGCCTCTGGTGGCCTTTACTAAGATTAAGGGGAACAAATCAGTAACTGTACACTAGAGGATAATTCATTCAAGAAAAAACAAATATCTTGTTGGAGACACCACCAGTTAAATTTATAATCCCTGTCATTCTGCTGGTTTTTAGATGGGTCAAATATGTGAGTAGAATGACGATGGTGTAGAAATTATTAAGTCGATGGTGATACTAATCTCTGTCATCATTCCAGGACGCAACTGGCTTTACCATCTTCTGAGTGGCTGTTTGCCTTTTCTTAGAACAACAACCCTCACTCTATAGTCACAGTACGAATGGAGATCTGCAAGTTGCAGAGCACGTGCTACAATTATGCATTCTGGAGCTGAGGAAATAGCCACAGGGTGGTTCTAGGAACCCTATTAGCCTGTGACAAAACACAGCCATGACTCCAGGACCACCTGACCTCCATAAGCCTAGACCTACCTGTAGACTACAATGATTTGGGGTGACCTGAAGCTAGTGGTCATTCAAAGCCAGAGTCCAGTAACCTCTGAAGGTTTATTTTCTTCCCACTGTACCCACCCTGTGAAAGGCCAATGGGAAGCAAGGGAGAAGGGCTTACCTCAAGGGAGTGTGGTCTTCCCTTCATTCAAGGGCTATAGACCTCTAAACTTGACCAAGCCTGGAGACTAGGTGGAGAATTATATTCATTTATAGAATTCAAATTAGACCCTGTTTCCTTGGCCCCAAACTCTTCTGCTCATACAGGTCAAATAGGAAGGCAACAGCCCTCCCATCTATTTGGTTTCTAGGAACTGCCTAATTAACTGGCCCAGCCACAGATCTCTATATACCAATTAAGCCTGTGGCCTTGGCTCTGTTGTCTTTTATGGTAACCAAGCATACTTTGCCTGTGGGGTTGACTTGGACAGCTCTAGGAATTCAAGGAAATATTTACCCAAACATAATCCAAATATGCTCTAATGAAACAGAGGCTCCAGTGAGCACACACAGGTAAGACATTAATAAACAAAGCAGCAAAACCTGAGAATCTGATTTGCAGAATGGCCTCATTACAAGTCAGTCTCAATTCTCAGTTCCAAAACCCGCCACACATGCCACTTACAGAAAACAGAAATTTCCTCAAGAAATCAAGACATTGGCCCTCCTGGCCCAAGACATTAACACTGCCTCAGGCTAGAGATTGTCCTCCATAGGCAGAGTGCCTGCTCCACATGCAAGAATCCCCGACCCTCAGCACTGCATAGAGCAGGTGCAGAGCAACCTTCCTGCAACCTTCGCAGGCGCTGTACTCAGGAAGTCCAGACCCGAGGTTTCTTTAGCTACACAGCAACTTCGAGGCCAACTAGGCTTCATGAAACTCCAGCTGTCTTAGACTAAAAGCTAACGAAAAATATGGACAAATTAAGTAAGAGAACTCCATTACTAACACCAGACTACTAACAAAGAACAAAGATAAAAAATGGGGGCTGAAGAGGCGGCTCAGTGGTTAAGAGCACCATCTGCTCTTCCAGAGGTCCTGAGTTCAATTCCCAGCAACCACACAGTGGCTCACAACCGTCTATACTGGGATCTGACATCCTCTTTAAGCATGTAGGTATACATACAGAGCACTTTAGAAACATAAAGTAAATAAATCTTGAAAAAAATATTTTTAAAAAAGCATCAAATTCTGGAGCTGAAAACATAAATAAAACATATACTAGAGAAATTCAACAGTAGGCCTGAGCAAGAAAAAAAACCAACAGGCATTAGGATCAACATCATCAGGGCATGGTGACGGATCCTGTAATCCCAGACTCTGGGAGGCTGAGGCAAGCGGATCTCTCAAGTTCAAGGCTAGCTTGGTCTACAAAGTGAGTCCAGGACAGCCAAGGCCACACAGAAACCGCCCCCCCCTCCAGAAAAAAAAGAAAAACAAACAAAAAGACCCATCAAAATGATTGGGTCTAGGAAACAGAAGTGGGGGCAGGGAGAGCACTATTCCAAGGGTACTACTCGGCCACCACTGCATGAAGCTGTAGATTCACTAAGGTCCATACAGAGAAAAGAGCTGATCAATTACCTGAGAAAAAAATGCCCCAAACCTTCTCAGATTACCCACCTACAAGACCAGGAAATCCCCCACTAAAACCCATCAGAGCTTTATCGAACTATGGAAAGTGCCGGGTGTGGTGGCGCACACCTTTAGCCCCAGCAGAGGCAGTTAGTTGTTCTGTTTTTCATTTTAATCCCAAACGTGGGACCTGAGGTGGGCTAGTGTGTCCACAGCTGTTGTCTTGTGTGGGCTGAGGACAGAAACTCGAGAGCCCAGGGAGAGCGCAGCGCTGCGCAGTGCTGGCGTGGAGGTCTGGAGGTCTGGAGGTCTGGAGCAGGCAGGCAGAGCAATAGCTCCAGGGACGGCAGTTCGGAGGAGACAGCTGGCTGTTTGCTGTTGACAGAGACTGGTATATCCCCCAAAGACCCATCAACCCTAAACAGCCCACTCTCCCCACTAACCTTCTCTCTCCTACAGAGGGTTGGGAGGTTGGAAGGGAGGTAGAGGCCCAAACATCCGAAATAAAGCAGAGCTTTAAAAAAGAACGCTACAGAATCTCTGGAGTTCAAGGCCAGTCCTGGACAGCCAGGACTACAGAGAAACCCTGTCTCAAAAAACAAGCAAATATGAAAAGAATTATAAGGATATAGACATTGAAGGCCTTAACACTTTTTTATGGAACTATAAAGATGTTGTCAACATGGTAGTTCCTCAAAGTTAAACACAGAATTATATAGTCTTTACTATATAGAAGAAACCAAACCTGAAAGCAGGAATAGATACTTGTACACCAATGTTCATGGCAGCCACTATTCTCAATATCTAAAAGGAGGCAAGCCAAGCTTTATTTAACGGGTGACCAGACTGACAAAGAGGTGTGTGCACACAGACAAGAGAAACAGAGAGTACTGCACTGTGAGGTAGATAGGAGAGACACAGGACAAACGCTACATTCTCTGTATGAAGTCCCTGGAATACACATTGGCATTTGTTTGATAACAGATGGCAAATTTAGCACCACACAATCACTTAGAAATGTTTTTATTTCAAAATGACCTATAGAAGTTTATCTAGATACACATCTTCATCTGATGAGTTATCACTTGATTTTACTTCTAAGAAATCAGTCAAAGTGAAACAAAATTTCTTTGCTGAAACTGAAATGGTAAGACATGGCTGCTGGAGAGAGAAGAGCCTTCCTAAGCCACAGTCTATTTCCAAGGTGGCTCTTCTGTATTCCCAAAACCTCTGCTCTGATTTCTAATATCAAAGCTGGGTTTGGTTTTTTTGTTTTCTTTTGTTAAAAGTCAAGTTTACACTATGTAGAAATAGACTGTAAATCAAGGACTCCTTTCCTGGCAGTAAGGTCCGGCAAAGCTTTCCCATAATCAAGCAAGCCCACTATGCCTATCTATGCTCATGAAGTCTGCTACGATGGAGAGCTGGCTCTTCCAGGCCTTTCCTCAGGATCCACACATCAGGCATTCCTCTCTGTTCTCCAAAGAGCACACCATGGCTGCTGTGTTCCTCTCCTTCTCTTCTTCCTCCTTTAGTGCCTTTTCCTTATCTTTCAGCTTTTCCTTGTTCAGAGTGAACTGGATTGGATTAGCAGCAGGTCTTGTCCTTAAATAATACATCCCAGTCTTTAAACCCTACAGGGGAAATAAACAGCTATTAGGAAGTTCTCTGGGAGAACACCAGACTTTGTTCAAAATAATTCCCATTTGATCAGTTACAAAATTAATTTTTAAAACCTTTAAATGTACTCCTATAAAACAACTTAAACTCTTTTTTTCAAACTTGCAATTTCATTTCCTCTACGATGTACCCTGAAAAAAATGCTTAAATAAACAGCTAAGTCTTGGGTTTTTCATTGCTAATATTAGGACTGCCTCTTTGGAATGTCAAGTTCAATTGTATTTAGTTTTACATTCTTAGTTGCAGGTTTGTACAAAATAACATGCCTGCTTTAGACTATAACTATTTAGGGATGAGACTGTCTAGGTAGAACAGACTATAAACACTGCACAAGGGTCACCTTCCTGTCCAATATTCCCAGGACAAGCAGACAATAGCCTATCAAGTAAGAAGGCCGATTTGTTGGAACACAGCAGCCTCTCACATGTCAAGGCCTAAGAATATAACACAAAACAGAACTACAGCACTTTGCAGCTGGCAACAGTGTAACCTGGCTCATGCACTGTGGATAAAGTAGGGAAAAAAGAATGCTTTTGAGTAGTGGATTGACAGCTTTGGAAATGGCAATATCTTATAAGATGGTCTGGAGCAGAAAGGTCAGCTGAAGAAAAAGAAAGGCTTAAAACACTGTACATAGGGCTGGAGAGATGGCTCAGAGGTTAAGAGCACTGGTTCCTCTTTCGGAGGTCTGGGGTTCAATTCCTAGCAACCTCGCGTGGCTCATAACCTTCTATAATGAGATCTGGTGCCCTCTGCTGTTATGCAGGCAGAAGACTGTATATGTAATAAATAAATAAAATAAATCTTAAAAAAAAAAAAAAAAAAGGAAAGAAACTGTACATAGAAGTGAGGAGACCGTAGGAGCCAGAGACCCAGACAATTTTATCTCTGGCAAGTCATAGTTCTAGCTGGAGTTCATAAGATCCCACCCTAACAGAGGAGGCCTAGACAGTTGATGGTTTCTTGGGGAGAGAAAGGCAACATCCCAGTGGCTGGTCCCATACCCAGAAGTGTATGGAAAGGACAAATTGAAGTTGGTGGTCTACTTAAAAGAAGAGAAAGAGAGGCAGAGAAAACACAAAATTGTGGGAGTTGGGAGGTAGGGGATCTAAGAGTAGTTAAGGGTGATTACAATCAAAACATTGTATGGAATAAAAATACCTAAAACAAAGCCTGGATGATGGCTCAGTAGTTTAAAAATACTTCCCAACCCTTAGAGGACCTGAGTGCTCAGCTCCCGGCACCCATTTCAGGCAGTTCACAACTGCTGAACAGAAACAAAACCCAAAGGGTTTATGAGCTGCCATAAAAACCACTCATGACTTTCAACACTTAAAGTGAAAAAACTTTTGAGATAGCAATACATAAAAGGCAGTTAGAACAGAAACTACTCCAACTCTGAAATATCCCAAGCTGGCAATTAAGTCCTCCTCAGTATGTTCAACCAACCTGCTTCCAGCCATAGAAGTGCATACTAGTGAGTTTGCCGTAGTTAGGCTCAGCAATATGGATGTTGAGAGACTGGCTTTGATCGATAAAAGCACCTCTCTCAGCTGCCATCTTGAGAACAGTCTTCTGAGAGATTTCCCACACAGTCTTATAGAGTTGCTTCAGGTCATCAGGAATTTCTAGTATGCTCTGGAAAAGGAAAACCACGTGTTGTCACTGTTTTAATTCCAACTAACGAAGGCAAATAACCAACAGGTTACTTATGCTCGCGTCAGTGCTCGGTCTGATCTTGCAGATCTGACACTGCTGTGCAGTTAGTATCTTAAGGCTTAGAGCAAGTTAGCCCACACTGTTTACCTCTTGCTTAGAAAGCCAATAAAATCTCATCTAACCAACCAAGTATAAATCTGATGCAGTGATTTAAACATCCATCTTGAACTGGCTTATGGACCAAACAGTTACTGTTCTAGATGTATTTAGGAAAGAAAGGAAAAGAGTTAAGCCAATAAATGACAGAAACACAAATAAAACAGGACTTTACAGGGACCCAATCAAAGGAAGCAGTGCGATAAAGTCCTTTAAATTTGATAAAGAAAGCCAGAACACCAGACTACACTTAGAGTCAAAATAAACCAGGTTTTCTTAGGCCTATAGCTGCCTGTTTTAAAATACACAACCTAACTGATGCCTCATGAAAATCTGAAAGTTAGAAGATGAGTTGCTAAGCTGGCCAGTGACCCAAGGATCTACCTCCACAAAAATGCTGTGGATCCCACATAGCTACCTTCTAGACTACTTCTCTCAGGCCCCCCTGCTCAACTTCAGGTTTTAAAAAATGTGTAAGAATTCCTGACACTTATACGAAATTAGCAATAAATGCACCCCAAGCTTAAAGGTTTTATAAGCTCCCCAGAAAAAGTAGGAACTGCTGCTTTATTGGAGAAACAATAACACTATGTAAAGATGTGTGTAAGCCTAGCATAACAATGCAGAAATGCATGTACATTACTAGAGCCTCAAGGACACGGTAAAAGGCCGTTTTTCTCTGCACTGCCCGGGCAAAGGGAGATGGCACTACAGTGCTGAGCTTAGCTCCTAGAAAGCACGTTATTTCGGCCTGTACCTGGATGGAGCCATTGCATGCAATAATCTGGTTTTTCATCTCTTCGTTCCACAAGCCCCGTTCAGTAAGATCTTTCAGCAAGTGAGGATTCACAATCTGATGAAAAGCAGATAACATGTCAAGGAATAAAATAACATTGGCAGGGCCTACACAGGATCCCAGGACTAGCGCTCAAAATAAGTAAGACAGCTCAATTACCTATTAGATACCCTAATAAACTCCATTGTTTTCTACAAAACAGAGGAGACCATTTCACCACACAAAGCTACATTCCTTTAAGGTCTTATCATCTATTATGAAAGAAACAATATATTGTGGCAATCATTCTATAATGTACACACACACACACACACACACACGTATGTACGTACACATATACATCAGATCACCATGTCTATCTTGGATTTTTGCAAATCTTTTAGGGTTTATTTTGATCGCATGTGTGTATATATCCACGGAAGCCAGAGAGAACAGGTCCCCTGACGCTGGCATGTGAGCCATCCGGTGTGGGAGATGAGAACTAAACTGGGTCCTCTGCAGTATCACCTTAAGACCCCAAGGGCACCTGCATGTACAGGTGCACCCCCCCCCCACACACACACACAGAATTAATAAAATCAATCTTCAGTGCCTCAGCCAGCGAAGGTCATGTGCTACCATACAATCTGAGTCTCCTCCCTGGAACTCACATAGTGGAAAAACAGAGACAGCTCCCAGTTGTCCTGACACATGCATGGCACGGCAAGAGCATACCCCCCGCCCCTCAAATGCTTTAAAAAGCTAAAGAAAAAATATGGCATTTGCGAAGAAGGAAAACAACAGCACTGTCTAAGCTGAGTATGCACATATAGACTGATTCTTCTTTGGCTTGTAAAGTGACCAGTCACTAAATACTTCAACAAAAGACCACGAGGTATTAAAGGCATGTGAGCTAGCATATGTGAAACATCATGCAGGAAGTGGGGAAAACATACCCACAATTCAAGTATGCAGAAGGCAGAAATAGGCTCACTCAGAAGGCAAGCTGGAGGCCAGCCTGAGTTACATAGTGGGGCTTCTTAAAACAAAACAAAACAAAACAAAACAAAACAAAACAAAACAAAACAAAAGCCAGGCAGTTGCAGAGCAAAGCCTTTAATCCTGGCACTCAGGGAGGCAGAGGCAGGTAGATCTCTGTAAGTTCGAGGCCACCCTGGTCTCCAAATTAAGTTCCAGGGCAGCTAAGGCTACACAGAGAAACCCTGTGTCAAAACACAACCACTATACTCCCCCTAAAAAAAAGTCAGGCTCATGTCATCAACTCTGACTCAGCCAGGTAATCCCAGCACCTGGGAAGTGGAGGAAAAATGATCTGTTCAAGGTCATCCTCAGCTACATGGTATGCCAGAGGCCAGCCAGGGGCCAGGCAGAGGGCAGCCTGGGCTACCTGATACTGTCTTAAACAAAGAAAACAGTCACTTTCATACTATACCTCTGCTCATTGGCAACTTAAGCGGACTATGAGAAAGTTCTTACTCTGGACTTTCGGAAGAGATGCCATACAACTGATTGTGAACGTCTCACCTGGAATTCTCCTGACAAGACTCTGCGAGTGTAGATGTTACTCGTGTAAGGCTCAATGGACTCGTTGTTCCCCAGGATCTGAGCAGTTGAGGCAGTGGGCATCGGGGCAATAAGTAAGCTGTTTCTTATACCATACCTCGGAAGAGAGATTTTAGAGGTTAGTGGTCGGGCTGCAGTCGGTCAAGAAGGCAGCTGCCCCTGCTTTTGGTCACTTAGTGTAGACAGATGCAAGAGGACCATCACAGAGGCACTTAATTCCCATACCAACTCCAATAAACTCCAATAGGAGTACAGTCCACAGCCCAGATGCCACCGCTCACACTGTTCTAAAATGTCCGCCTCTGAGCAGAAGCAGCACCGTTTTAGCTGCTAACAAGCCATACAAAGTCCTCCCGGGTACACTTGACCTGTGCACTTTGGAGCCACACAGAGCACTCAATGCAATATTCCGCCCAGGGAAAGCCAACTCAGCCCTGAGCAGCCACCAGAGTCAGGCATTCACTTGAACTAGTCATGTGTCACTACAACGCTCCACATCTCGCATGAAGGGAACAATTACTCTCAGAAGAAACCCTGACTTCACCTACGAGCAATTGTTAGCTTTTTAAAAGTTAAATTTTCACTTTAATTGTCAAGAGTATGTAAAAAAGAATATACTATTTAACATACTTAGAAATCTCCATAGCTTAGCTAAAGAGATACCAACTCCAGGGCCTACAAATGGCTCAGTGTGTAAAGGCATCTTCTGCCAAGCCTGAGTTCAACATACAGAAGGTAGATATTGTTCAACATGGTAGGAGAAAACCAACTAACTCCTTCCGGCTGCCCTCTGACCTCCACATGTGTGCCAATATACATATATACACAATAAATAAATACTAAAAATTAAAAATGTATAGCGCCCAACTCCACAGCATTTTCCTAAGCAGGCGGGCAGCAATACAAATGTCAAAACAATCACCTGCATATCAGCATTTCCGGTGGCCTGCACATACTTTGTCTGCACTGTCTGTACCTAGTGAGCCCTGTAACACAGACAGCCTGTCTCCCACACTCTACAGCTGTGGACCCAGGTGGTGCTGGGCGCTGAGCTTCAGGTCCTCAGCTGCTTTATATAACCACGATGGTAATGCCACTGTCACTTTCTAGATGTTAAGACATTAGTTATCTCACGCCTTTACTTCCTCATCTGTAAACCCCAACGTCATGTTTACAGAAAGTAAATGCTTTCAAGTCATTCTTGCCAGATTCCAACTTTGGAATCATCTGTAATTGCTAAAACATTAAGATCTAACTGGACTAAAAGATCTCTAAAGCAAAGCACTAAACAGTCTCAGAATATGTCAAGTTCAATCACATTTACATGACAAAACTGCAGTGTATGTACACGGAAGAAGTCTAAAAAGACACACCATCAACAAGGCTTATCTCTGGGAAAACAAATTAGGCTTCTGTTGTTTTGTGGAACAAGCATCTGGCAGAAATTCAAAGGAAAGTTTTTACTTTCTATTTTGTTTCTAAACTTAAGGTAGGGCATGGTAGTCTACAAGTTTGCAGCCAGCCTTGTCTATCCAGTGAGTTGTAGGCCAGCCAGGGCTGTGCTGTAAGATCCTATTTGAAAAAAACAATAAACACACATACACATGCACTATATACATATGGCCTAATGAATAAAATTAAAGCAATGAATAAAAGAGTAAAAGCATTTTTTAAAAGTAGACCTATCTGGGCCAGGAGATGGTGGTGCATGCCTTTAATCCCAATACTCGGGAGGCAGAGAAGAGGACCTCTGTGAGTTTGAGGCCAGCCTGGTCTACAGAATAAGTTCTAGGAAAGCCAGAGCAATGCAGGAAGACCCTATCTAAAATTAAAACAAACAAACAAACTTGACAGGCATGAGCGTTCAGCAAGTCATATCGAAATGCCTACTGTGTGCTGAAAGGCTTTCAATGTGCCAAACAACCTTCATATTACTATTTTATTTTCCAAAGCCATTTCTGTGAGCTAGGGCATGCTAGCCCCATTTCAGAAGTTACAGTAGCATATCTACCTCCTGAGGTGCTGGAAATCCAGCCTCCTGGCTTCCATGCTACTTCACACACCTCTACTTACTTTGCAATCTTCTCCTTGAGACGCTTCCAGTCCCACAGGTCCGTAGGAGTAACCTTCCACATATCATACTGAAGAATCTAAGAAATAAATATCCCACATGTATGATGTTACTCCACGGCAATGTAAACAATGACCAAAAGATTAAAAATGGCGACCGCCAAATCCCCACACTGCAGCAAGTGATGTCTTGCAGTCCATACGTTAAGGAAAATCAGCGCCAGTGAGTCTCCTGGACACGCTCCATTAAGCTTATTGATGATCAGAGGCCTAGGACCTCCTCCCAACTACATTCCTGCAGATCTACAAACTAGAAAATCTTTTTTGTTTTGTTTTTGGAGACAGGTTTCCTCTGTGCAGCCTTGGCTGTCCTGGACTCTTAGATCAGGCTGGCCTTGAACTCACAGAGATCCACCTGCCTGTGCCTCCCTGAGTGCGGGGATTCCGGGCATGTGGTACCACGACCAGCTACAAATAAGAAAATCTTAACATTTATGAAATGTTTTAAGAGATATTTCTTTCATAATACAACCATACATTAGAATTTCTAAGTATCAGAAGAAACATCAAAACTAAATCTTAATACAGAAGAGACATACTATTGCGAGAAAAGGCAGCATGGAAGACAGAATTCTAAGAGGGCTTCCCAGATTCCAGACACTGGTGTCACAGCCATGGATAATCTATCTCCTCTACTGAGTGTAGACAGGATCTGGGAATATCCTAAATATCATGGTGTCTCTTGCAGGACAGTGATCACTGGATTTAGGTTCCACTTGAATAAATCTAGGCCTCACTAACCCAGAACAATCCCATCTCAAAGTCCTTAACTACATCTGTAAACACCCTTTTGCAAACCAACACACTCTCCCAGGTTCCATGGAATGGGGTGTTTGAGGAGGGGGTCATTCATTATTCAGCCCGTAACTGGTGCTCACAGGCAAAATCTCAACCATATACTTACTCCTTTGCTGACCGGTGATCCCTCATATGTTTCATAGGGGCCATACTCCTTGGCGAGGTCGCAGCTCGCCTCCAGGGCTCCGTAATAAATCGTTTCAAAGATCTGCTTATTCAGCAACTGGGCTTCGGGGCTCTCAAAGGGGTACCTCATCAAGATGAAAGCATCTGCTAGACCTTGTACCCCAATTCCAATGGGCCGGTGGCGTTTATTTGACAAGTGTGCCTTTGTGCCAAAAGATTTGGGAAAACAAGACAAGAAAACATCACTGAACTCAAAGGTGGCATTCTACCCCACTGACCCACGCAACCTCTTCATTTCAGTTCTCTCACACCATTCTGAGGACATCCATTTAAATTAGGACTTGCAGATGAAGATAAATGCCCTCCATCTTGGATTCAATAATGACCAATCAGCAGAGAAATATATTCATACCTCTGGAACAGGGTAGTAGTTTATATCAATTATTTTATTCAAGTTTCGGACAATGACTTTAGTGACTTCAGCCAATTTCTCAAAGTCATACGTATGTTCTGGTGTGACATACATATTCAAAGCCAGAGAAGCCAAGTTACAAACTGCAACCTGCAATAACAAAGAAAGATTTCACATACTTCTGACTTCTTCTCTCTGCACCAGTGAGATCACTATAGCCTTTACAACTATCAGAGGTGAAAATTTACAACCACTCCCAAAACTAGTCCTGAGGACCAAACTCAAAAAATTTATTAATGTTTGCTGGGTAACCTCTTTACAACCAAGCTAAATCTCCAGTCCCTAAACTTGGGGTTTTCCATCATGTATCAGCATATTTTCTAAACCCCACTGATTCTACGTATCCACTACCTGTCACAGATGAGAGTTGCACTATTCAGAATACTGGAATAGTTCTCAACTACACCCTGATACACTCCATTCTGCCAGGTGGCTAAATTACTATTTTTAAATTACAGCTTGGTTAACATAACTCTGCCATATAATTTGATTTTTTTCCGTGTTGGGGAACAAAACTTCCTTGAACCACTCACTTCAAGGGAATTCCAGTGAGGGACTCACAGAGTGACCGCCTTTCTTGCTCTGGGGGTCTCTCCTACCTCATCCTTGCTGGTGTACTCCACTATCTCCGTGCACAGGTTGCTGCACTTGATGGTCCCCAGGTTCTGCTGGTTGCTCTTCCGATTACAGGAATCTTTGTAGAGCATGTACGGGGTGCCCGTCTCTGTCTGAGACTCAATGATGGCATACCAAAGCTGCTGAGCTTTCACGACTTTTCGGACACGGCCCTGCTTCTCGTAACTAAAAAGACAAAGCTAGTATTATTTCAATATTCACATCCTAGGAAGAATACATTAAAATACAAAATTATGCAAATTTTCAAAGTTTTACTAACGGGAAAAGGAAAATAATCATTTTTAAAAAGGCTGGTTCTATTAGTTGAGTGTATGTGTAAGTATGTGTGCATGTGGGCTATGAGAGCACACGCCTGTGCACATGGAAGCCAGAGCTGGATTCACTGGTATTTCCAGAACAGCAGGCTCGTTATCTGGCTATCTGAGATCTAAATCAGGGCCTTTAGACTGTGCATGAGCACTCCTACGTAATAAACCATTTCTCCAACCCTGAAATTCATGTTATCAGCTAAGATCACCAGAAAACCAGGCAGCTTTAGATAACTTCAAATGACCCATGACCCCACCAAATCAATACTTTTTAAAATAAAAAGGAACAAAAACCTCCATGAAAACTCTGTCACCTGCTTACAGAGCTTGTCATGCAGCCTACATCTACTGCTGCTTTTCCCTCAGATTCTGACCAAAGAAGCCTAGGCATGCTTCCCCTGATGGTCTGGGCTTTCTTCCTCTGAAGCCCCTCTCCTGCTAAAGCTGCCTACTTTCTTGGACCCTAACCTGAAAGGGCATGGATTTCTTCCTTCCTCTTATACATCTCTATCCCTGCAGCTGCTAATATTGATAGCTTGCCTGCCCTGTTGCTTTTCTTAAACTCTAGTGAAACTGCCCTTAAGCTTCAAAAACAAAAAAACAAAACAAAACAAAATAACAAAATTTAGCACTGTTAATTTTAATAAACCATTAGCATGTGTATCCTAGTTACTTGTGATTTATGTTATCAGAAGCAGTGTACTGAGGCCAGAGAGGTCACTCAGCAAGTAAAGGTACTTGCTACCAAACCTGAAAACCTGAGTTTGATCCCTGGAGCCCACACAGTGGAAGCAAAGAACCAACTCCGGTAAGTTGTCCTCTGATCTCCACATATGTACTGTGGCACAATGGTGCCCCTAAGACCAAAATAATTCAATAAAAGTACTGTACTATAAAGCAACTCAGATAGTCTTTATCTCAGTTTTTGTAAGGATTAATAAAAAATGCAAAGCACCCAAATTTTGAGAAGATAAATACTAATTTTGGTAAAAAAGTGAAAAAACATCTAACAAAAATCAAATTAATAACTATACTCTCTTCTAGATACTTTCAAAGATTCCTAGAAATGAGCTAATGATTAAATATTTTTCTGTTTTTCCAACGGTAGGGATCAAACTTGGTGCCTCACAATATTGTAGGCAAATGCCCACCATAAACACTTCTGACATTTGGATGCCCCAAGTAAGAGAAACCATGGCTCAAATGCTTACATTAGTATTTTCTCATACCTTTCGTATAACTTCTCAAATTCCTCTCCCCAAACTTCATCCAGCCCAGGACACTCATTTGGACACATCAGTGACCAGTCCTGCAAAGAGGAACATCTGCCATGAGAGACGTCACGCAGCAGCCACAACCCACCACAAACACTGTAAGAAGAGGGCTACCACGGAAATCTGGTGTAGAGGCAATAGTTTGGGGGTCTAAAACTGTAGTTCTACCTGTCTGTATGACCTTTTAAGCACTTAGGTCAGTTAGGATCTACTTTTGAGAACAGTTGCCATCTGTGGCATCCCACGGGGGAAGGACTGAAGAACAAAGCTCCTAAGAACCAAGCTGCTATATGCACAGGCTCAGAGCCCTCTAACCTGGTTAGTCTCCACTCGCTTCATGAAGAGATCTGGAATCCAAAGTGCAAAGAAGAGATCCCGGGCTCGCTGTTCTTCCTTCCCTGTGTTCTTCTTCAAGTCAAGGAACTCAAAGATGTCTAAGTGCCAAGGCTCCAGGTAAATGGCAAATGCACCAGGGCGCTAAAGGTAATTATGTCAGCATTATCATCAGAATCAAAATAAAACACAGATGCTTCATATTTTACAAAGTACTTTAAAATAACATCTCCTTTCATCTTCATTATGAATTAAGTGAAATAAGTAAAATACCAAAAAAGTACACAATATTTTTCTTAAAAATTTAGGAGAACAGAAATGACAGAGAAAATTTGGGGGCTGGAGAGATGGCTCAGCAGTTCAGACTTACTGGTTTTACAGAGGATCCCACTTCAGCTCCCAGCACCCACAGTAGGTGGCTCACAACTGCCTATAACTCCAATTCTAGGACTTCTGACCCCTCATCTGGCCTTCAGACACCTGAATGCACACGTCGCACAGGTCTCACTCACTCTCACACACACACACACACACACATCTAAAAAAAAAATCTGGAACAAAAATAACTTGTTCAGAGGAGCATGCTACTTGTTCAGACTGCAGGTTCTTCATCAGTGCAGCGCAGAGCACTTTATACCATGCCGAGTCGGTCAGTCCAAGACAAGCTGCTTTACCAAGTGCTCTCACTCAAGGTTAAGAGTGATCTGGCTGAGCGTGGTTGCCCACACCTGGAATCTCAGCACTCCAGAGGCAAAAGGATCAAGAATTAAGGGGCAGCCAGGGCTGACCAAGCAAAGTGGTGATCTGTCTCATGAAGGTTGTCAAAGACCATTAGATAAAAATTCATAACTGGTAGATGACTAATCATCCACTTTGGTAGTAAATCTCCTAATAACTCTGGATAAACAACCTAATCCTCTCAACTCTCGGGGAGTTTCACTTGGGGTTTTTATTGTGGGTTTTAGTTGTTTTTGGGATAGGGTCTCACTGTGTAGCCCTGGTTGGTATGGAACTTGCTTTACAGAACAGGCTGGTCTTGAACTCACAGAATGTCCTGCCTCTGTCTTCCAAATGCTGGGATGAAAGGCATTTGCCACATGGCTATTGTTTCCTATGAAAATTCAGTATGAATTATTACAAACCTATTTCAAGGTTAGGTGTTAAAAAAAAAAAAGATTAGGTGTTAAACTGGGTATACTGGTACATGCCTGGGAGCTAAAGACAAGGGAATCAGGAGTTCAAAGCCAGCCTCAGCTACACAGTAAGTTCAAGATTCTGTCTCAAAAAAAAAAGGGGGGGGGGGCTAAAGAGATGGCTCAGTAGTTAAGAACACTTGCTGTTCTTGAAAAGGATCTGGGTTAGGTTCCCACATGGCAGTTCACAACCTTCTGTAACTCCAGTTCCAGGGGATCTGATGCCCTCTTCTGTTCTCCACAAGTGTATGGTACACATACACACACACAGATAAAAGATACACATAAAATGGAAATAAATCTTGTGAGATTTTCCAAGGAGTAAAGGTACTTGCCACCAAGCCTAACAGCCTGAGTTCAATGCTTAGAAACCACATATGGAAGATGACAACTCCCCAAAGCTGTCCTGACCTTCACTTGTGTACCACAGCGTGCTCAGACACACATTATAAATAAGAAAATAAACAATTAAACATGAAATGACTTTAAAAGAGCTGAACAGACCAGTAACTACTAAGAGCCAGGGATAAAGCGTGTGTGGGTGAAAGTAATAGCAGTGGTTGAATGCAAGAGTACATTAGCAAACATCTTGGGATAATGAAGGTGTCCTGTATCTTAACTGGTATGGCTGTTACTCAAGGTACACTCGTTTGTTTTTCACGACAGAGTTTCTCTGTGCAGCCTTGCCTGTCCTGGAACTCACTCTGTAGACCAAACTGGCCTTGAACTCATGGAGATTGGCCTGCCTCCCAGCTAGGATTAAAGGCATGTACCACAACTGGCCAGTGAGGTACACTTTTGTTAAAACCCATCCAACTATATATTAAATAAGCAATTCATGTCTCTTTAATTTAATTAAGTTAAAATCACACAATAGTCAAGACCAGCCCAGACTGCACTGCAAGTTTAAGGATAGCTTAGAGCTACAAAACAAGATTATGTCTTAAAAACAAACAAACGAACAAAAAATAATAAGGAAGGAAGGAAGGAAGGAAGGAAGGAAGGAAGGAAGGAAGGAAGGAAGGAAGGAAGGCACCTAGAAAGTTAGGAGGGCTAAGAAGACAGCTCAGCCGTCTTCTGGCCCCCATGAGCACCCACATGCACATGCTCACACACAGATATACTAATCATATAAGTAAGAATAAGGGGCTGGAGAGATGGCTCAGAGGTTACGAGCACTGGCTGCTCTTCCAGAGGTCCCGAGTTCAATTCCCAAGCAGCCACATGGTGGTTAAGAATAAAGTAAATCTTTAAAAACAAAGTAAAATATATAACTAACCCAACTTTTATAACTAAAGACTTTTAATTCTGATTTCCAGCACTTGCCAGTAACAAAATATACCTTGTTTCCACCTTGATCCACATATCGAGCTGTGTTATTATATACTCTCAGCATTGGTACGAGGCCATTAGAATTGCCATTAGTCTGAAAGAAAGGTCAACAATAAAGGCATCTGGGTGAGACACAGGGCTCAACAGAGAAAAGAACGAAACAACCCCAAAGTAAAAACTGTTGACATTTTGTCCAAAACAGTGACTCACTTCTAAGTGACCACCTCTGAAGTCTGGCCTGCTCTCCACGCCTGCCTTAGCAATGAGAGCAGGGTGCCCAACACTGTTGTTATATGTTCAGTTACTTTACCATGACCCCAATTATAATGAGATATACTAAGTCAAAAGAATTTCAAAACCAAGGTAGCTAAATTGTAATTTGAAAGCCATGAGAGCGGGGCATGGTGGTGCACTATATGCCTTCATCCCAGCACTGGGAGGCAGGGGCAGGCAGACCTCTGTAAATTCAATGCCAGCCTGGTCTACAGAGTGAGTCCAGGACAGCCAAGGCTACACAGGGAAACCCTGTCTCGAAAAAACAAACAAAAAAAATCAAAGTATGCCCTCTGTATCATACACATAATTGGTATTAAAAGTCATACAACTTAATGCTTACCCCAGCAATGTAGCTACCAGTAGCCCGAATACAGCTCACAGCAACACCAATTCCCCCTGCAGACTTAGAAATCAAGGCACACTGCTTCAGAGTATCATAAATTCCTTCAATGCTGTCGTCTTTCATACTCAAAAGGAAACAGCTACAGGAAGAAAACAGGACAACTAAAGCAAGATCTGTGACAAATGATTAGATGATTTAGCCTGTTAAGTCAAGCAAATGAGAGATCCAGAATCTACAAAGTTCCTAGGTGTTTTCAGAAGATGGGAATTCTCCTTTTAGTGAATATGACACATCAACGTATTATTTTAAATTAATCTTGCTAACTATGTTAGACATTAAGTCCAGAAAGAAGTCACATAGATAAGCCTCAAATATCAGCCTGGTTTTTACCACACTAGTTATGTGCCAAAATTAATTTTCTCAAATTCTTTAACATACATCAGACTTTTCCAATTGTTAGTAAACCAAGAAAAACGAAGGTCTTTGTTTTTAGATGAGGTCTCCCTACATAGCCTAGTCTGTCCTGAAACTCACTATATAGACCAGGCTGGTCTCAAGACCAGGCTGATTTTACCTGCCTCCACAGTGCTGGGCACTACTATACCTGAACCTAAAAATGAAGTGTGTTTGAAAACAAATGCCTAACGGTCACCCAATTCTTTGATGTGTACATAAAAAATATAGTACCCTTAGTCTTTTGTTTGTTTGTTTTTTTGGGGGGATCGATTTCAAGACATTTCTATTTATCCCTGGCTGTCCCAAAACTGTGTAGACCAGGCTGGCCTTGAACTCAGAGATCTGCCTGCCTTTGCCTCCCAGTGCCTTCACCTAAACATAAATAAATAAATAATTGTTAGTTAATTATTATTTAAAGGTGCGTGCGTGCGACCATCGCCTAGCCTACAGCTGTTTTTTGTTGTTATTGTTGTTTGTTTGTTTGAATGGCCCCTCTACTGAACATTTGTTCTGTCTCCTCAGGCTCTCAATTCATGAGCATTACTCTATCAGGGTCACTTCATCATCTTGAATGTTAAATTACTCAAATAGATTCTATTCACTGACTTTCTATAAAATACTCAGGTATTAAGAAAGATTATAGAACCCTGACAATGCAGCCACTTCTGATGAGAACTGCTAGACTAAGATCAGAAATAAGGAAAGAGGAGGACCTCCCCTATCAGTGGACTTGGGGAGGGGCATGCATGCAGAAAGGGGGGAAGGGTGGAACTGGGAGGGGAGGAGGGAGGGGCTTATGGGGGGATACAAAATGAATAAAGTGTAATTAATAAAAGTTAAAAATAAATAAATAAAAATATAGATGATTCAGGAAGCATACAAAAAAAGAAAGGTTATATATCTATATAGCACCTACCTCAAGAAATAAGATGCCAGGGGCTAATTATAATTCCTATAATTAGTGATCCTTCTGAAGCCTGCTTTTAACTCAGTGTTATAGCAATTCATTCCTATTAAGATACGTAGTCTTAATTTATTTCCATGGTTGTAAAGCCTTCCACTGCATGATTATCCCATATGTCTGTGTGCTTGTCAGTGGTTGCTGGATTATTTTCAACTTACTTGCTCTCTAAAAACTGCTTTCCTTCCCTCTATTTATTTGTTTGTTTAGGAGGATGTCACTATAGGCCAGGCTGGCATTGAATTTTTTCTCCTTCCCCTCAGGACTACCATTCCCAACATCGCTCTGACGATTCTTTAACAGCTGGGCACTGGGAGTCAAACTCAAGGCCCTACACATACTAGCAAGCACTGTACCACTCACTAAGGTACAGCCTGGACGCTGACTCCCTAGATAGCTCAGGCTGGCTGTCAATCTGCTATGGAGAGCAGACTTGCCCCAAAATGTTAAATCTTCTGTCTTTACCCCCTGAGATCACGAGTGCACCCATCATCCCTGGCTTTGAACAGCACATTTTAAACTAAATTTGCTAAATGCTAAGGTACAGAAACACAATTTTTCTATAGTAAACTTACATATAAATATCTTGCTAAAATCTTTTTAATTCTAATAATTTGTCCATAGATACTCTTGAACTCTTTACATAGAAAAAGAGCCTATCTGTTCTCTTTATGCCTCCATTTTCAATCATTTCAATCTCTTTTTCTTATCTTACAATGCTTGCTCAGGCCTCATTACCACACTAAAAACAAGAACAGAGCTACTGGTTTTGGTTTGGGTTTTATCTATCTATCTATTTGTTTGTTTGTTTGTTTTGAGACAGGGTTTCTCTGTGTAGCATTGTCTGACCTGAACTCACTTTGTAGATCAGGCTTGCCTCAAACTCACAGAGATTCGCCTGTCTCTGCTAGGATTACAGGTGTGAGCTACTGCACCCAGCTTTATCTATCTATCTATCTATCTATCTATCTATCTATCTATCTATCTATCTATCTATCTATTTATTTTATGTATGTGAGCGTTTTGCTTTCATGTATATATGTGTACTACATTACAGGCGTGAGCTACTGCACCCAGCTTTATTTGTTTATGTATGTGAGCGTTTTGCTTTCATGTATATATGTGTACTACATGCGTGCCTGTCAGGTGTCCGGTCCCTTGAACCTGAGTTATGGATGGTTACAAGCCACCATGTGGTTCTGGAGCCCAGAAGTGGGTCCTCTATGAGAGCCATGAGTTTCTCAACTCTGAGCCACCTCTTTAAGCCCAGATCTAAGTTCTTAGTGGGGATCTTTTACCAAATTAAGGAGGTTATTCTACAACAATTTTGCTAATGTATTTGATTTAAAACAGCAATGAGTTGAAAAGTATTAATACGGTGAGATATGTGTACAGACACTGGCATATCCTTGAATTCCTGGGATACAGACTTTCTAAGGGCATTTCTTTTAGCTCAGTCCAGACACTCTAACTGTGATCCCTTTCACCGCTAAGGCATCATCAGTAATCCCGTTATTTTGTCCATAAACTCAAGAACAAAATTTAACCAGATTCAGAACATCACAAATTCCACCAGTTTAATTCCCATGTATCTTAGGAATCTGCCTCCTCCCCTTAATCTCTACTTCACCTCCTTAATCCTTTCATAATTCTTAAAATAAATGACTGCAGGCATCTTTTAACTAAGTCTAGATACTTACTAATTTTTTTCTCACTAATCATTTTAATAATGCTGAAAAGACTTGACCCAAAGGTCTTGTGCATGCTAAGCACATGGTCTCCTTCTGAGCTACATAAGCCTCTTAAAAAACACTTTCTTGGAATATAAATGACATATAATTCCTTATCAAAAACTTCCTGTTCAATAGCATATAAAATATTCAGCTGTGCACCTACCACCACAATCAACTATATAAAGTTCTCACTAACAACATGCGCCCTCTTCTAACTTGTTTACCATAACAGTCAGAGATTGTTCCAAAATGCAAATTATTTAATCAGAGCAGGCAACAACTGAAGTTTTTGTTTGTTTTTAATGTGATGAACCACCTGGCTTTTTCTTATTTCCCTAGTGAAACCACTTGAAAAAGCAGTGTTAGGGGCTGTAGAGCTGCCTCAGTGGTTAAGAGCACTGGATGCTCTCAGAGGACCTGGGTTCAATTCCCAGCACCCACATGGTAGCTCAGGACTATCTAACTCCAGTTCCAGAGATCTGATGCCCTTTTCTGAATATGAGCAACAGGCTTGCACGTGGAGCAGACACATACAGACAGACCAAACACTAATATAAATAAAGAAATCTTGGAAAGAGAAAACAGCAACAAAAAGCAGCTAAAGATTATACATGCCTGGAGAGTTGTGGGCGGTTGGTCCCAGCATTGAAGAGAGTAGGAGAGGCATGGGTAAACCACCTCTCAGAAAGTAGGTTGTATGTTTCAATTGCAGCATCAATATCTTCTTTGTGAATGCCCACAGACACCCTCATCAGCATATGCTGTGGTCTTTCGGCCACTATAAACAAAGCAGGAGTTTTCAGATATGGGGCATGTCAGAATAACTAGGCTGAAACACATCTAAATGGAAAAATATACCACCAAAAGAAACTTCTAAAAACTTTACCAACAAGAAAAAACTCTTTCAATTGTCATTCAGAGGCACTTCTGCTATCCTTACCATGGGGTAACCCCAGAACCATGAGGCGACAACATTCTATTCTTTACAATTACACAGTAACAGAGGGTTATTTGGAAGGCTGCAAAACGGCGTGGCAACCACAAGCACCTTTTGCTATGGCTAACAAACCGCGTTCAACCCCTCGGTGCCAGCGTGGCAGGGGCGAATCGGCTCTCACACGTTGGCCTGCAACGTCCACATACGGACTATGGCATGTGTGTCTCCCTTCCTCCCCACGTCCACGCACGCACATAAATACATGTAGAAGTTGGGAATGTATCTGGGTGTTTTGCTTGCATATGTATGTCCATGTACCATGTGCACGTCTGGTACCCACAGAGACCAGAAGAGGGTACTGATCCCCTAGAACTGCTGTTACACACAATTATGAGCTGCCATGTGGGGGCCGAGAACTGAACCTGGGCCTTCCGGAAGAGCACCCAGGTTCTTAACCAGAGCCATCTCTCCAGTCCCAAAATATTATTTAGAGTCTAAATAGAAATGTTAATGCTAGCTAATATTGCAAAACTCTACATTCAATATAATGAATAATAACATAACAATGTATTTCATTTCTTACCTTTTCCATTGATCTTCAACAAATAGGACCGCTCCAGTGTCTAGAAGAACAAAGCAGCCAAAGAATTCTCAGTTTTTAAATACACAGTAGACATGTAATTCATAGTAAGGTGATCTGCTGAAATGTCTCAGTCTTATCATTTTAAATGAAATGAAAACCATTTAGCATTTCGAGCTTCAGCCTAGAACATCCTCATGTGGCTGTTCTGCTTTGGCAAAGATGACATGCCAATCTCTGGACAAGGCCCGCCTGCACGCAGCAATGCACACTGCCACGGGCTGTGCAGCGGCAGCAGCCCAGGAGCACCTGTGCAGAGCTGGCCGAGTCTAGACACTAACCGAGTGACAATCAATCTCCCGAAGAGCACGCTGAATCTTACATTACCCACATCCTAAAGAGGACACTGATTACACAGCAGATGAACAGGAAGTGGGAGAGCCAGGCACAGCGGATCTGACATAGACACCCCATCTTAGGCACCACATTATGTAGGCAACACAATACATTTAGGCAACACTTCCAAAGAAGGAAGTCAACACTTACTGAAAAATAGCAAAAGGTGGAGTAATTGTGACAAATTATCCATGCAATTTTTAAAAGAACCCAGAAGTAATATTTGGAAAGTTCAAAAGCTATTATGACTAAGCTAATTTTGCCTATTTCAAAGTATCAGCACTTCATACCCCTACAATTACCAGGTGCATGCAAACTAAGTCATCAACATAAACAAAATACTTTCAGATTTAAGGGGGAACCATCACATATTCGAACCCATTATTTATTTATTTACCTTAAAACCAAAGTAGTTATAAGAGAAATCTCGATCATAGATAATGGCAGAATTCAGGCGCTAAAGGGAATTAAAAAGAACCCATAATTAAAATAATAAGACTTACTTTCAAAACTTCTGATGTTTTTAGCTGACTCTAGAACTAAAACTAATATACAGGGAACCACGCATGCTTTAAAAAACTGGTAGCACATACTACTTCATACTTTTTCATTCTATTGCATGTTTGTACCGCGCTTTATTTTTGAGACAGGAACTTGCTGCATACCCTGACTAGCCTAGACGCACTAAGTAGACCAGCAGTGTGCTGTTGAACTTGAAGGGACAGTCCTGACTGGGCTTCCTGACTGCTGGGATTGTAAGCACGCAACACCATTTTCAGCTGTAAATTTTTGTATTGCCAATGAGCCCACTTTAAACTAAATAAAATAATATGTACTATAAGCAAACAGAAAGTAGTTTATAGGCTTTGAAAATTCATGGTCCTTTAATGGAGCTAAAACAAATTACTATTGCGGCAGTAAAATATTACAAAATTGGTCATTATTAAAGAGCTTTGGTAAGTTATAAAGCCACTTGGAAAAAAAAACAGCAAATTATGTGATCCAACAGTAATAATACTATCAAAACCCTTACCTCCTACTGTCAAACTTCGAAGGACATTTTTGTAGTCAAAACTAAGTATCAGCTAAGAATGAGCACAGAAGAAATGAAGCAGTAGCCTATATACCTGTCTATTTCTCAATATTCCCTTTTAGGCTCGGGTTTTGCTACTGTTATGTGTTTAACTTGTCTTCAGGAGTCTGCGCAGGGAGGTGTGGTGCTCACACCTGCAATCCAGCACTCAGAAGGCCAACGCACAGCGGACTGTCTCAGGTCCACTGAGGCTATACATCTAGATCTTTAACAAGCAATGGGGATGGTCCAGTGGTTAAGAGCAGCTGCTCTTCCAGAGGACCAGGGTTCAATTCCCTGCACCTAATGGAAGCTCAGAATCATGCATAATTTTAGTAGTCCCAGAGAAGCCAATACATTCTTCTGGCCTCTGTGGTCACCAAGACCGCCTGGTAAACAAATATATGCAAGCAAAACATCCATACTCATAAAATAAAATCTAAAAACAAACTTAGAGAAAAAAAAAAGAAGCTGGGTGGTGGTGGTACACACTTTAATCCCAGCGCTTGGAAGGCAGAGGCAGGCAGAACTCTCAGAGTTCGAGGCCAGCCTGTTCTAGAGACTAAGTTCTAGGACAGCCAAAGCTACAGAAAAACCCTGTCTCAAAATAACAAAAAAAAAAAGGGGGGGAGGGGGCAGGGAGAAAGACTATATTTAACTACAAATAGCTGCTTGCTTTTAAGTCTCCTTAATAGTGGATACATAGAGAGCTAATCAACTAATTTATCTATTACCTAATTTTAAAACTGGGTTCTACTTAAAATAAACAAAAAACCCCTACATATCTATCATATAAGAATATTTTCTGATTACAGTAAAAAACTTTTAGAAAACAAACTTTCATCAATAGAGGAATTCTCATGGGCAAAGTGAAAATAATCTATAAAATGGAATATTATGCCACTGATAGGATGAGGCAAATTCATAAATGCTGATATTTATGAGGTATAGTTCTAAGTGCAAATGGCATCAGTGAGAACAATATCATCAATACACTATACACACAGAGAATATACACAGAACAGCTCCAGAAAAATATCCTTAATGCTTAAATGAAGCTGCTTCTACTAAAGAAAATGAGGACCTAGAGCAGGCGGAATAATTTTTATCTATCCCTTTGTACTGTTTAAATGTTCTTAAATGGATTTTTTGTTTGTTTTGTTTTTTGAGACAGGGTTTCTGTGTAGCCCTGGCTGTCCTTTAACTCTGAGATCCACCTGTCTCTGCCTCCCAAGTGCTGAAATTAAAGGCATGTGCCACAGCTACCCAGCCTTAAATGCATTACTGAAGAAAACAAACAAAAAAAAACATCAAAAATTTTCCATCAGAAAAAAATACTGTACACACATCCTTATTGGCCATAACAATGTCCAGTGTTGAGCTGGCCACCATGGGGGAATGTTTGCCATTGTGTGGATTTATGTAGTTATAGAGATCCTCCATCACATCTGAGGAAAGATAAAAAAAGGAATGTCAAAACCACTTAATAGCTGTTTTAAAACAATGACTCTCAATCCCTTTTTTATACCAAACCCACTTCAGTGCCTAGCAGAAAAAGTACTCAACAAACACACCTCCGTTGCGTAACAATAGGACAATATATTATATAGAGAGGAAATGTTCTTTCAAAGAAAATGAATGTAAGGCCTTCTAGCTTTATAGAATCAGTAATTCCCAAGTGACCATACAGCTTTATAGAATCAGTAATTCCCAAGTGACTCTGATATACAGCTAAAAAAGGAAAACAAGGAAATGCAGCCATTAGTCACTTCTCACCACTTGTTTTCTTTTTCTTTAAAACTTAGGTCAGTAAGCTGGCTAACCAGTAAAGGCATTCCCACCATACCCCTGACCTGGGTTCTACCCCAGGGGCTGATTCCCACACGTTGTCCTTTGACCCTCACATACATGTGTGATGCACATTTGTCCACACACATACAAAAATAAACACATAATTTAAAATCAATATAAAAATTTAAAACCCAGAAACTTAAGAAAGTATGATGACATATTCCCATAATCCCAAAATTTGAGGGATAGAGAGGCAAGAGAATCAAGAGTTCAAGGTCGGCTTAATTACAAACTGAGTTTGCAGCCAGACATGAGACCCTGTCTCAACACACCACACACGCACACACAAAGCAGATCAAAAGAAATAGTAAGTTCTAGGTCGTGTGCTGGCATAATTGTATACTGCTTTTTAAAATAAGATGTAATCTTTAAAACATATATAACCTATATAATTGTTATTCCTATAATTTTAAAACAATATTAAGTTTTTTCTAATGTTTTTATTCCTGACATACCACTGAACACTTTCTTTGTTTCTTTGTGCAAGTTAGAGACAGCAATCCGTGCTGCCAGGATGGCATAGTCAGGGTGCTTCGTGGTTAAGGTTGCCGCCGTCTCGGCAGCCAGGGTGTCCAGCTCCACTGTGGTCACTCCGCTATACAGGCCTTGGATTACTTTCATGGTGATCTGAGCCTACAACAATAAAACCAAGAGTTATTTGCGCTTTCCCAAGAACCAATAGCCTCCTGGAAAGAATTGTTAAGACGACCAAAGTTATAACATAATATCTCATCTGAAAAATTTTATCCCAATATAAGAACCCATAAACCAACAAAATTTCCAGAAATGTATCCTATACATATAAAATGATTTAGTGTCACCTTTTTTAAAAGTCTAAATTTAGCTTTTTAAAGAGTAAGTATGTGTGCCAGCACATGGCAGAAGAGACATCAGGTTCTCTGGGACTAGAGACACAACTGAGCGGCCATGTGGGTGCTCTTACCTGCTCATCTCTCCAGTGTCCACACACACTTCAGCTTTTGAGACAGGGTCTCTCATTGATCCTGGAGGACACTAATGGAGCAAGATAACTAACTAGCCAGTGAACGTCAGGGAGCCCTCCGTATCTGCTCCCCACAGGAGCACTATCACACCTCACTTTTTCCATGCGTGCTGGGATCCAAACTCAGGTCCTTAAGCTTACAGTACAAGCAGAGTCAACTGAGCCACCCCCAGCCCCATTACACACCTGTGTGTAAACACACACACACACACACACACACACACACACACACACGGGTCACCCGAGCTGACGTCAGGGATCAACTACCCCTCCTTGTGTTTATTTCAGTAAAAAACATTTAAAATGTAAACATCAATAATACCAGCTGGGCACGGTGGCACAGATCTGTAATCCCAGCACTCGGGGGGCAGAGGCAGATCGCTGTGAGCTAGCCTAGTCTACAAATTAAGTCCCAGACAGTCAAGGCTACACAGAGCAACCCTGTCTCAGGGAGAAAATACAATAAAATCAGTAATACCAAAAGCATACAGTAGAGTATATGAATAGCTTTTGGTATTTGTTGGTTTTTCTTCTTGTTTTCAGACATGTTCTTACTATATAGTTTTGTATATGCATGTTTTAATTGAAGCTGATTACAATTATTTTCTTTCACAGTAGTAAGCGTAAATGTACAAAAATAAAGAAAAAACCAAAAGCAAACAACCCACAAGCACATAACAGACACGGTTAACAGAACCAGCATGGGAAGGCTGATGGTAGGGTCTCTCTGTGACAACCACCTTATTCTTTGAGACAGTGTCTCCCTGCGTTTGGAGCTTGCCATTTAGATGTGCAGCTCCGATCTGGCTCGCTCTTCAGCCCAGAGCTGCAGTTACACACACTGCTATACCTGCCTTTTTCACCTGGGTGTTAGGATCCAAATGAGGGTCTCACGCTCCCAGGCAAGCACTTTTCCCACTGAGCCGTCTCCTCAGCCCACCATACATTTTAAAGAAAAGTAAGTTCTAGGTTCTGTCCACACACTTACTAAATTGTTTAAATACAGCCTAACTGGGAAAGTTGGTCAAAGCATAGGCCCTTGGAACGCTCGTGATTTGAGTGCGGGCAGTTACTGTGAGCATGGCTGAGCCAGTTCGCTGCTCATCACTGTCTTGACTCAGCAGGCACATATGAAAGCAGGGAAGTCCGTCTAGGTTCTGACGCGGTGGCAAGTAATCAGAACTCAGCACCAGCGTGCCACATCTAGTAGCACCCAGACTTTCTCAACAGGACCCGCCCTCGAAAGCTGAGGTCCACTGAGCAGCCTGCCTGTGCACGTGTGTTGTTAGAGGAGGCAATAGAACACCTTAAAAACAAGAAACTCCACTTGCTTCCCAGTGCACTACCATTAACGTCAATCAGTCCCCTCCCCTCTCTCTGGATGTGTCTTATCCACAAAATAAAGATGAAAGAGGATAAGGTCTTAGATTCATCCCAATATTAACATATGACTATTCTAATTACTATCTAAAACTCCAAGATATGTAGATTTATAATAAATATATTTTATTCTAATTTATTTTCTTTTGTTTTTTTCAAGACAGGGTTCCTCTGTGTAATGTTGGCTGTTCTGGACTCGCTTTATAGACCTGGCTGGCCTCGAACTCACAGAGATCTACCTGCCTCTGCCTCCCTGAGTGCTGGGATTACAGGCATGAGACTTTGGGCCCAGCTTATGACAAACAGCTGCAGTTACCTGCACAAGACTTCTGCAAGCCTGGGCCCGTCAGCATGGCACCCTGACTAGAGGAGGGCTCACCGCCCTTCCCTGAGGAGGCAGTTACTGGCTGCTGGAGGAGTCATATTCCTCAGTGATGCAATCACTGGTAAATTGCTCTTGCTCAATCAAGAAAACTAACTCCAGACCCCTGCTCATAAAAGCAGCCCTAATTAAATGAAGTGGGACAGATGAGGACTCACAGACACTCACGGGGACACACACACACACACACACACACACAGTACTAGGAAGATTTATGGAGAAGAAGGTTGTTGAGAAGGAGATAGGTAAGAGGACACTTAAAAAAATACAAAAAATATTTTATATACATATGTACAAAATTGTTAGAGAATCTCAGCATAAGATACACCTCACTCTTCATTCTAGATGATGGAGACACATAACTAATTTCTATACAGTGTGGCAAAATAAAGATAAGTAAGATGCCTGAACAGTGGTCAGGTCAACTGTCCCCTCTGTTCACATCCTGGTTCTCTGCAAAGTAAGAGCTTGAAGGACAGATGAAAATTAAGAAGAGTTTTAGGCAATAAATTCACATTTAAACTGAAATATAGTAAAGTGATGGTCTACAGATAAGAGACATCAAATCACATGAAGCAAAGAACCCATGACACATGCTGTATTTACTTACAGGATCAACAAAGTCCATATTGAGTCCGTAACAGAGTTTCTGGATTCGTGATGTAATTTTGTCAAACATAACTCGCTCTTGGCGGCCATCTGAAGAATCAAACCACAGTTTGCAATAGCAGTTATTAAGATGGCAACACCAAAGAATCAGGCGTAATCAACTTCCGAGAATGACCAGAATGACATGCTAGTTACGGGATTGTCTTTGGGGCCTGCGGCGACTGCTCAGTGGCTAATCTTACCAATTTGAGTGGAGTAAAAGTCTCCTATCCCAGCGCTTGGGAGGCAAGAGCACGCAGAGCTCTGTGAATGCAAGGCCAGCCTGGTCTACAAAGCAAGCTCCAGGCCGGCCAGCACTTCACAGTAAAACCCTGTCCCAAGAAACAAACAACCTACAGAAAACAACCCCCCAAAACTCAGGGGCTGGAGAGATTCCACACTCCCCACCTCAGAAGAGACAAGAAAAATGACAGGTGTCCAAAAACTGGAGTATAAAGTCTTTTTTTTTTTTTTTTCTTTTTTTGTCATTTCCTCTTGTGCCAGATCAGCTCCACGGAGTTTTTTGTTTGTCTGTCTGTCTGCCTGTTTTCAGAAATGAAGACAGACAGACACCCACAACTGCTGGCTGCGCCACCCTCTGAGCCCTCCTGTAAAATGGAGCCAAAAGCGGCTCCTCGGGGCCGGCCGCGAGGAGTCACGCGCTCCGAACGGGCCGGTGCGGGCGAGCGGCCGC